TCGTGTTTAAGAGCAAATCATGACTCAACCTGCAGAGAAAAAATATTTTTTATAGTTATATGTAACTGTAAATGTTATTAAACATAACTCACATTTTAACAAAAGGTGTGAAATCAAAAACAAACAAACACAAAGCCCATTCTTGTAGTTCTAAGTAATCCATGACGATGTGCATTATTTTCTGCAAATCCCCCATCCAGCCACTGGTTTAATTTCTTGCTTTATATTTCATTCCTAACCCTTCACTCGCTCACAGCTGATCATCTAGTTTTGCTTCAAACAACGACAAACCCGACCTTATGTGATTTAAAGCGCACTGTAGCCTTTATATTCCTGCCTAGATGGAATAAACCTGATAGAGTTGTGATTTGAGTATGCCCTTCAGCTCATGCATGCTCTAAAGCTCACTAATGAAGCTCAAAGTAAGTTGCTTACATACCTTAATAAGATCAATCATTAGTTAGCTAAGAAGGGACATAATGTTAAGCATAATTAGCCCTGTGTTAGTTGGACGAACAGTAAATTGGGCTGACTTTGTCGGAGTGGAGACAGCTGTACTGGGAGTTGCAAATGAGACATAAATCATTAGGAAACAAACTGATGCATAATCTCTAATGAACCTAATTAAGTACATCATTTTAATTATGCAGATCCATGATGATTCTGTATGTAGTTTTTAAAGATACGGAATGATGAGCTCTACCTTCTCCCGATTCCCCCCCAAAAATGAATCCATAGTCTTGGGAATTAATTCCCCTGCAAACATCGCAATTCAGCTTGTAATGAACTGTAACCAAAACGCTGTAATGAAAGCTTTTCATGGCCAATTAAAGTGAATAGATACCGCCTAATAACTAGCTGTTTTCCCACTTCGGGCTGTCAGTTTTGACCAACAATGACAAGCAGGTTTCATGTTTTACAAATTCCTCCTTCTCCATCCTGCTAGTTATGTCGTGTTGTCTGCCCTGACAGGAAAATGGGTAACACGGTGCGCCTCCAACTGACAAGAGTGAAGGCCTGAATCTGCTTCTGCTATGTCTCAGTTATCAATGTAGCCTGAATTAGTCAGTCATCTCCCTCCTGCTTTCTGGAGTGCAGCATGTCACTTGTCAGACCCCATCCAAGATGACTTGAAACCTGCGCAAACACACACACACACACAAACATTACCACACACACACACACACACACACACACACACACACACTGACGACGGATGTACAAATGTGTACACAGTCATACTTCAGGCAGGCAGCCTTCACCCGAGATACTCTACAGCTCATTTTAAATGGCAGCTCATGTTGCTCAGCAGGGTGCAAAACGCCAGCTCTCAAAAGGTAAAAAAAAAAAAGACAGAAAAACAAGTACTCTCCTGGTGACTCATGATTTCCCTCCATTTTCACACAACAAAACATATATGCACTTTGGGAATAAAAACCACAGCACTGTAAAGTTTGAAGGAACCATGTCAGTGATAACGTGTACACTAGCTGTTTTTTTTTTATAATGCAGCCTTTAAAGAGCGAGTATACCTGGTTCAAGGAATTTGTATTTTATGCTTTATAAAGATAATAATAATAATAATCGCTCGTGTTGTTGGCTCGTATCGTTAGCTCGTAAGCACAAGGCCTCTCAGCGCACCAGGCCATTGCCATTTAGCAACCGGTCACAGTAAGTAAAGCACAGGCAATTAAGTTAAAATCCCTACCAATTGAAACCTTGACCTTGGCTTTAAAATCCAAAGGCTCTTTGTTAACGAGCAAGACAAGACTTAAGTGAAAGTGTGTCGTCATAGACAAGAGACCTTCAAAAAGAGGTCCTGATATTGGTCAGGAGATGCTGTGTGTAGTACAAAATCTACATTCAGGACTTTAATATTACAGTCCCTACGTGGCTTGCACTGATCTCTTATTCAAATTGAATGAAGGGACTGAGCGTGAAAGTCTTCCTGGGCGATGGTTGACATTTTTTTTGTTTCAAGCTGCAAGACGCATGGTTGTACATCCACGATCCGCTGCTGGAGAGGAAGACAGTCCCGCTGTGGACTTTACACACACACGAGTTTGGACGCTACAGACCCGATGTGGTGTCTACACGGCAGTAGCCATGCTGTGACACGTACACACAGCACTCGTAGGATCCTCAGCGTCGAGGCTCAGGCTGTGTGTTAAGGAGCCGACCTCGCTCTCTGGAAGGTCAGCCTCCTCTGCACTTGAAAAAGCTTCTTGTGTGCGTGTGTGCGTTCCACGGCCCTGCCTGCTCCGGCCGACTGCTCCCTCGCCCGCCCGCCTGCCGGTGTGTCAGCTTCTAATGATGAGCACGATGGAGGGAATCAAAGAGGAGATGCAGCTGACGTCGGGGCAAGCTCTCCGTTGGACACCAGGTGATTGGGGAGGGAGCTTTGAAGCAACTTGTTGGATGGCTGTCCATTAATGTAAAATATCTCCTTTTTCAAAGAGCTTTATTCAAGCTCAGAGTGGCGGGGCCCATAGGGGTCAAGGTGTCTGGCAGAATAATCTCTCTTCCGGCTAAGAGAAGGTCTTGATAAAAGAAAGGGTGGTGCACGGTGACCTGGCCATCTTCTGAGCTATTCCTGGCGTCAAGATTGCACAAAAAAAAAGAAAGAAAGTGCAGGAGACAATTATTGCAATGAGCGGTGTCTGGTTACACTTCATATACACTCAGACCTCTGCAGTCTTCTTGAGCTCTGAATCTTAAAAACGAAGCTTTTTTGATCATCTCTACATCACTATTTATTTAGTTTACGTCAGGGATCAATGTGTCTTTTCTCGCGAACGGTTCTCACAGATCAATTTTCCTCCAGTCACCATGAACCGAGGCGGCCACAGACAGAATTTTATCCACCAAGTAGCAGGTTTATGAACACTGAATGATGGCTTTGTAAATTGCTCCATCCGTTTTAGGTTACCGCGATACAGTTACGGGTCTATGTGGGCTTATGAAAGCTACCAGTTACAGAGAGTTAACAGAGAGGTTACAGCCAAACTTGAGTACGAGTCAAAGATCACAGCGCGCCCATCATACGGTGTGACAATCCCTCTTGTCTCATTCAGTGAGCCAAAGACAGACATAGATGACACGCAGCAGTCCAGCCCGCTCATGACCCCTATTAAGTCTGAGTAAATCTTTGATATGTACTTTGATACCATATTTTATTGATACTGGAGGGGCGTTCGTAATATCAAGTACAGTTCTGCATTCCAGGAGATCAGAGCGAGGGCTGTTTTGTCTCAGAAGCCGTCCCGTGACCCTTGAGAGGTCCCCCATAAGCTCGGTTTACTTTGGTTTTTACAAGAGATGGTGATGTATGGCCTCTCCATGTTATATCTGTCTACAGTTTCTCTTTCATGCACATTACTTCAATGAGCTGTCTGCTTATAATGAGGCCTAGTCAGATGTTTATTTGCAGTCAACCCAAAGCCTTTTTAGTATTAATTTCATATCATCATATAGCACGATGCTACATAAGCCGCTACTCATTGGTGCAGTAAGTAAACGACCCACTCAGCATCCTCACTTTTTTACATCTTACCTGACTTTGGTCTTGTACAATTAGAAGTAGTGTTTTTTTAAAGCTCCTGGGATGAGTTTTTTTTTTTTTACTGGTTGTGGAATGAACTGAAAATAATATCGAAGCCTCTTTATGACCAAAAAAAAGCAATTGAGACCATCCGTGACGAGACTTAAAATTTCTATATAGCTAATGTATTGCCTGTAACCACTGCCACAGGGTAGGTGTCAGATAAGACGATTAAGAGCGTGCTTTTTAACTTTTTTTCCCCCCACAGCATTCCCGATGAGTATATCGTTTGACTTTAAAATAAAGCTGATGAGGTTATTTGTCGTAAAACCCTTCGACGTGTACAAGACGGGATCAGTGAAGAGATGAGAGGTACCATTTTGTCCAGAGGGGGCGCCAAAATCAACACAAACACCTTTATACACTCGTCAAACTCTTAATGCATCGTTGTATGGTTTCAAGTATTTTTCTTTTCTCATAATTTTAAAAGTTTTAAAAGTAGAAAGGACAAAAGAATCCCAATTTGATCATCTCCAGAGCACACATGCACATACACACACACACACACACACACACACGCACACACTCATAAGCACTCAAAGGCTCCGGCCTCTGATCTGACCTGACAACTCCTAAGCTACCGTTTCCTCACGCTGCCTAACTCGGACCACATTTCTCCCAGAGAGTGTCTCTCTCTCTCTCTCTCTCTCTCTCTCTGTCTCTCTCTCTCTCTCTCTCTCTGTCTCTCTCTCTCTCTCTCTCTCTCCTCTCACTAGCCGGACCTCTCTCTCCTTTACATCCTTTTTTTCCCCCTCCGTTCTCGTGGCCCAGCATCTGGTTTGAATATAGCAGCGTGTGCTACTGTGTTACTGATAGAAGTTTGGACTGTAGGGCTTCTCTTTGATTTTCCCATCCTGCTCATGTCTCTTCCTCTTCAGCTCATACAAAGCCTGCATTGACAGATAAAAAAAAAAAGTTGAGTTTGCAGGTTGCATTTCAAGGATTGTGTGGCCTACTGTATAAAGATGTACTGCAGTAAAGTGATGTGTTATTTTTCTTTTTCTACATCATAATGCTTTATTTTAATACGATGTATTCCAGACTGATATATCATTTGTTAGTCACCTTATTTGATTGCATGTAATCTGTGTTCTTAACACAATATTTGTTCTTATGATCACTCTTGATAGTCAATATATTTCATCTGGCAACATTTCCTTGAAGGAAATTGGACTTCTATTACATTCTTCTACAATTTATAGTTTAGTAGTGCATTTAAGTAAATATAACTGATTTGCATCCAAGCATTTGTTGTAAATGTTGTTTTGAGCCAGAATACATCTTCAATCTTTCTTAGGAAAGTAATCACTCCGAGTAACAAGGCGTCTTTAAGTGTTTTGTTTTGACTCATTGAAACTGATTTCATGTGTGTTTTGTCTTTGTTTTTGTCTTGATCCAGACAGAAGCCAGGGAGACCATCCCCAAGATGTTAGCAGAACTGGACCTGGGCCGGACGGAGAAGTGTGTGAGGGTGAACTCTGTGTCCAGTGGTTTAGCCGAGGCTGACCTCGAGGTCATCCTGCAGGCTGAGGTTCTCCCTCCTGCAATCATGCTGCCCAAAGTGGAGGACACACAGGAAGTGCAATGGGTAAGTTATGAATATTGGCTCCCTTTGTTAGTCGTCCTTGAGTTTTTTTTTGTTTTTTTTTTTAAAAAGAGAGTAATCTGAAAGTGTTTCTTAGAACCAAGTGTAATCACATCCTGAAACAACAACACACAAAAAACTGCAACACATGCAAAAACTAAACAAGTCCAAGAGAATACCCATGACATATCTCTCTATTACCTCTGGGTGTCTTTTAAAAACACACTGGTGCTCCTACACAGAGTCATGAAGTAAGAAGAAACCACAGGAATCTTCAAAGCAATCATAACAAACTTTTCCACATCCCAGTAAAAGAGGGAATCGATCCCTGTGGCAGGACTCGGGGACGGGCCGAGTGTTTTTCTTGGCTGCTGCTCTAGAAACGGATGACATTTCTTCGGATTAGCTTCTGAAGCTCGATAGCTTTCTGTAACAACACAGTGGTGCCTTCTTCCTCTGCTGAACATACTGAAGACTGATGAGGACATTGCTGTGTTGAGGCTGAGAAATAATTAAATCTAATTTAAGACTCTCGGCCAGACAGGTATAATGAATAAAAATAAGCGTCAAAGCTTCCCTGTTCTTTTGGTGAAAGCACTAGAATTCTTGTAGACAGTCAAAATTGATCAAAATCTGATTCATTGCTCATATGGGACTCAGATCAGATTTTTTTTATGACCGTTTGAGTAGCACAAGTCTCATGGAATCAGACCTTTTCAATTCAGATTTGTACCACTCAATCTGTGGTGATCCCATCTGCACAAATCTAAGCATCCAAATTTGTTGGTCCTAAATCAGATGCAGGTCAGATCTCTTTGCAAGGCGGTCTCAGTCTGAACAGCTAATAGGTTGGTATGCATGTGACTTTGGCATCTATCTTGAGCAAAGCTCGTCACTGTTCCATGCTGGATAGAAGTGCCGAAGAGTCACTCACACTGACTCAATGGAAACAAACATGGAAGACAGCTGTGATGCAGGTTGTCAGTAGAGGGACAGTTAGACCTTATAAGTATTTGGGTTGACACTTCTATACAAGTAAAACTTTAGGGGCCGTATCGTAACTGACCTGGGTTTGAACGCATATCAAAAAGAAATGTCTGAACATGGCCACAAAAGAAAGTGGCTTCAAATAGTAGTTTCAAAGTCGATCTAATAATTCAATAATATCAACAGGGAAATGGCGTCTACACTATTTCCACAGAGCACACCAGTCGCATGTTTTCAGAACTATGTAACTTTGGCAAATGGCCACAGTTCTCTCGCGAGACGTGCAAACAGCTTTACAGCACAAATTCACACAGTTTGAGCTAACAAGAAGCCAGTTAACCCGTCTCAGTACTGTTTGGTACAATGGCTGAAGAGACGAAAGAGGATGTAATCAAGGATTCTAAGAAGGGAAAAAGAGAGACTGGCCGAGCAAGAAGGTGGACGAGACTAAAGATTGGACAGGCTTTTACATGTTGGCGAGAGCTTCGAGAAACAGTAGGCTGAGCTGGCTATGTCGATAAAGTGTACGTGTTTTACGACAGTGTAGTTGCACTCAGAGACGTTCGGTTGGTGCTAAAGCACACCGAACTAAATTCCTCAGTAATGTTGCTTTAAAGAAGCAAAGTTTGAAGAGGTAAAGTTTAGGCTGCTTGTGACGTCTTTGTTGTGTTTTGTTGTGCATGCAGACCAGCCCAGGATGAAGACCAGTTCACATAGGGAATCTACAGGCAACATTTAAAAAGTGAGCAGCCAAATAAAAACATTAAATCTGAGCAATACATCTGAATTGAGCATTACGGCTTTTGCTGCAGTATGACAATAGTCTTTCCCTTTTGGTAATTGCAGCGGAAATAACTGTTGCATTAATACATTTTTTTTTACTCAATTATTTCTCATTCTCATGTAATACTTTTAGAAATTTGTCCCCAAAAAAAACTGGGCCTGTGCCTTAGTTAAGAGCAGTACGTCTGGGCTAGGCCATCCCTTTGGCTTTCCATAAAGGGCGCGGTACGGATGTCAGGTCCTCAAAGGTCAGGAGACAGTGACATCATTAATGTAGGCCTTTCTGATCAGCTCCATATGGTTCACTTACCAGGAGGAAACAAACAGTTCAAAGGTGCTTTATTTACTTCTAATTCAAAACTTCTTCTGCTGCAATCTGCCAACATTTCATCTGCTGTTTGCTCTCCTTCTCGCTCTTTAGAAGGCTTTAACACGGCCAAGCAGTTTACCTTTTTATTTTTAATTGGCTGTTTTACTTTCTGTATATATATGACATGCACACACACACACACTCATACGCGGTCTAAGGAAAGGGGCAGGAAGTTTTTAACTAGTGGTTTTAATTAGAACACATCTACATCCTGCTGCCCGTTCTTTTTTTCAAGTATAATTGGTGACAGGTGTTCACTTTTTCTCTGCCTTAGACTGCCTGTTTCTACGTCTTCTCACAAAAGAATCTACGCTCAATTATCCATCAAACATAACAAAACCAAAAAAATAAAATAAAACTTGAATTTGACACTACAAAACTTTACAAAAGTAAAGGACATCGATAACTGTTTTGGTACCATGGCAAAAGAAACATAAGTCCTGTGCACCCCAAAGTAAAAAGTGACCTTGACCTTAAATTGCAAGCTAACTCCTCCCGCACGATGTCTTAGTTGCACAAACACATCGGCAATGTTTCAGCATTGTGCAGTATTTGTGACACTTAGACCGTGTCACCTCCTCTGCTTTTTGTCTATATTTTTAAGATAATAAATAAATGCTGAAAGGACTTGAGAAATGTCACTTCTTGCCGACCTGTGAATTTTGACCGCAGCTCCTTTTTCTCATTTTTCATGTTGCAGCTTCAGGTTGAAAAAATGACTGAAGATCTGCAATTTTTTAAAAACTTTCATTCTTTTCGATTTCATGGATCATTAAACTAACAGAGATTGTTGTTTGAAATCATGTGGATTCAAAAAGTATTGACGTACTGAACATTTTGACATTTTTTGCCTTCTTTTGTTTTTCTTCCACTACTTAAGTGTTGTTGCCATAAGCACTCTGTGTTGATCTGTTTGCACATTGGCTCTGCAAAGTGTTTGCCAGGGTGTTTCTGCAGCAGCAGGTTATCCTGAATCACGGTCAAGTCTGCACCCCTCTATTGGACCTTTGTTTTGCTCATGTTTGCTCATCTAATCCCATGGTTGTCCTTGTTACTTACTCCTTGTCTTCTTTTCACATGACTTCTCTGTGTCCACGTTTGTATTCATCCGCCTGCGTTGTAAGCATGCGTCTGATTTTCTATCCTCTCGTAAAGCATCGCAGTAAATCCCTCACTTGTTTATTTTTCTCCCTTTTTTTTTTTATTGATATTAGCGCAGGAATCCTCCAGACTGATTAGTGGCTAAAAGATGGACTTGCTTGTTTCCCTTTGTGTGGAAACCTTTAGCACTGCCTTCCTCCTCTCCCCCGGCCCTTGTGTGACTGACAGGCCTTATTGGGCTATAACAGGCGTAACTCCCTCCTTTTGTCCGGGGACAATTCTCACACAGATTCGGAGCCGTGCGCATTCTTTGCCCACCACACTATTTGGTGTGCAGTGGGACCGAAAGAATCGCACACCCTGTCCCCGCTCCTCCTCCTCTACTCCTCCTCCCGGGCCCCTCCCCTCGTCCCTTTCTCCGCTTCCCCTCTGTGAAATGAACACTTCAGCAGGCCGGAAACATTTAATCTGGCCCCCTTTTGAAGAAAATTAATTGAAACTTGTCCCACTATAGCCTCCTTTCTCTTGCTCCATCTCGCCCTCCTTCCCTTTTCATGATTGGGTGGTGAAATTGTCAGAGGGCTTGTTTGTAGCGTGGCTTTGAATGGCGAGAAGAGGTGTTATTTCTTCTTTTTTCTGTTCTTTCATATGTATTTTTTTTTTTCAATTTGGCAGAGAATAACATCCTAAGTGTGCTAGGTTTGAGAGCCATTGACAGCTAATGGTTGCTGTACGCGCCTGAGGAACAATGAACAAGCACTATAGTCCCTCTGATGCAGCGTAAATCAGGCCCTCCAAGTGTATAATAGCTGAAGAGGAGAATACAGACGGACAGAAGCATGTAATCAGAGAGGCACGGAGGCTCTTTATCTAGCGGCGTTTTTCCTCCAGCCCAATCAAAACAACCTCCCCGCTTGCCGTAGCCATGTTGGGGTTTGCGTCGCGCAGTGTTGCAGTGTAATGTCAGCTTGGTTTCCCCACATCGTCCCATATCTGGCTTCCTCTGTCACAGAAATAGGTTCATCTACACCCCTCTTTTTCACACTCTCCTCTCGGACACCCCCACCGCCACCCTACCCCACCCCTTCCTGTGTTTGCGAAGGAGGGGGGGATATTATGCTAAGCCCCCAGCGTTAGTTTTTATGTTGCCATAGCAGCCTTGCTCCCACAGGGTTGTGACCTCAGATGATTACAGTACAAAGCCTATTGGGTCTTGAAAACCTCTTTGAAGATGAAAAGTCTTTGATGGTTTGTATTTATGCAAATCTCTCAGATATGATTTATCCAACTGAGATTGAATGGAGAGATGATTAAAATTGCCCCTATTTTTTTTTTTTTTTTTTTTTTTTAAATCCATCAATGGAGGGACCACTCTTTCAGTTGTTTTTTTTTTGGGGGGGTAGAACAAGAGTGGTGAGTGTGAGCACCGGGGTTATTTGGCTCTTCATTTAGGAAAATAGCATTGCTGTACCTGAGGTTATTTATATCTGTCTTTTTTTTTCCCTGGTGTGTCAAAGAGGGAGCGAGAGAAAGGAGAGGAGGGGGGGACATGAGGTTAGACAGATTTCTGAGCTTTTGCGCCCTCTCTCTCTCTCTCTCTCCCTCTCTCTCGCTCTCTTTTTTTTGACTGGCTTTGAAAGGAAATATCTAACGGAAGGGGCTTTTGTGTGTTTCCAGATGATAGATTTTTGGAATTTGGGCAACCCCACTGGCAGTCCAGGGCTAGCTGTGAACTGGTCTGTTGGAAAAAATTGAAATGCTTTGGTCTTCAAAGAATTAAACTTGGTTTTAAAGCCCTACTTAGGTGAGCTTGCATATTAGCAGGAGTCGTGCAGAATAAAGGCCTCAGCAAAGTGTCACATCACACTCTGATTGTTGCTCCAGTCTCCCTGTTCCCTGCTATGGAAGCAGGTTGGGGGGGTGCAGAGCAAGAAGAATGTAGGAGTAAAACACACTCAAAGACATCCCCAAATCTTGTTTCTTCTCCCCCTTTTTTTACCCTACTTTGTTTCTTCTTTGGTTCGCCGTGTGTGTGCGTGTGTGCGTGTGCACGTTTTCACGCGTGCACGTTCTCAGGGGAACACATGCTGTAGTTGAGCAGAGCCTGTGAACGAAGGTAGAGAAGGAGACTTCAGACGGAGAGGGGAACCCTGGTGATAATGTAAAATATTTCATTTCACCTGCTTTTGTTGCTGCTCTCCTGCGCTTGCTCCCTCAGCTGTTTGAACCCCACCATAGATGTGTTTCTGAATAAGGACTCAAATGGGAACAGTGCAGGTAATAAAGGTGTCAAGATTCATATCAAAAGTGAGTTTTTTGCACGTTAAGATTCCGTTTTTTACCCCCCCCCCCCTTCCTATCTGTCTGTCTTCCCCCCATCGTGGATGTTGAAAGATGTGACATATCATTTATGTGGTTTTTACTGCTGGAAATGTTCTCTCGCTGTTTTAAATTCACTCTGACTCAATAACTCAGGATCTCAGTGTGGGTTTTCCCTGTTTCCATGCATATAACACAATGATTAAGTGGCAGCTGCACATTACTACACATACTGGAATTTAAGCGGTAATAAAAGGATGTGATGTTTCCCTAAAGATGAGTGCATATTCTAAAATCTAATAGAATCAAGCTGATGGCGAGTTTGAACAACAAATGATGCAGAGAGAATGAAAGCGCTCCAAACAAAGTGCAGACTCCAACAAAGTATAGCAAAAAACAAACACGTTTATTCTGATTGTTTGGAGGCGCATGGTTTCCAACAGGAGAACAGTGGGTTGTTGTTAATGAGTCGTGCATGAGATTGTCCCCGTGTGTTTAGTTTGTTGACAGGTTTCAGCGCAACTTGAAAGGACGGCCGCTGACAGGACCCATCCGCCTGGTCACCTTTGTGGAAACCGCTGTGGGCCTGCTCAATTTTAAGGTAAATTACAAACAATTGCCGCCCCAAAAAAAAACTGCCTGTGTAAGACATTTTTTTTTTCCTGTTTGTCCATTGTTCACTCTAGATTAAAGAGCGCGTCAGCTCGCCGAGCGCTCCACATGTCCAAAATGAAAGGGATTCAAAGCATTCGGACAGTCTCTCAAAATGAGCCTTTTTTTTTTTTTTTTTTTTTCCCTGACTTCTTTTTCTCTTGTCTGTCTCTCCCTTTCCCTCTCCAGACATGCTGACATTTTTTAATTAGAACTGTTTTAATATCATCATACTGGGAAAGTTCTTAATGATATTTTGGCAAGCATCAAAGCACTTCCGTTTTCAGTGCAGCACGACCTTCAGCTACACGGGGAAAAGAGGGCACGGTTTTGGGCATTTGGGGAGAAACAAGCTGTCCTTCCTTTCTTTTGATTTGTCTTTTTTTTTTTTTTTTAAGTTCCTCCACTCTGATTCTGTGTCTGTGTTTTTCGGTTGTTAGTGTGTGTACGTGTGTGTGTTCTGATGGCAGGGGGTGCCTCTGTGTGCTTTTTTTCTTGAGAACACCCTGTATCTTTGCCCAGACTGAACCCCCCGGTTTCAAGCAAGAGAAAGAAGAAGAAGAAGAAGAAGAAAAAAGAAAAACCTCTGTGGCACAGCTAGTGGTGAAATTAATTTGGAGGCCAACAAAAGCAGGAGACACATTCTTATTGTTTCACTCCCTTCTCCACAGACAATCACATTCCAGATTTTATTTTTTTTAAGTTCACTGTCAGGCGATAGTAACTGTATCCTGAAGTGATGTCTGAGTAGAAGAGCTTGTTTGAGCTTGACTTTTTCAGAGCAGTTGCGAATATGATGCTTTCCTTTCTAAAGCTTCGCTTCACTGTAGAAAAAAAACAGATTTGATAAAATTTGATTTAGCAAAATAACTTCATGCTTTACTAATTATTGTTGACTTTACACGACATGCTGTAGCAGTTTAAGACTTTTAAAACACAGACGTTGATGAGTGAAGATAAGAAATCAGGAATAATTTGGTTGTAGAATAAGTACACAAGGCATCAGCTGATCAATCGGACTCACTTTTTCAGCCCTGACTCTCAACGAACTGGTAAGAATGGTAGTTAAAGTTTCAAGAATTGATACCAACCACTACTACTGCTTTCTTTGGTTTGACAAAAATGAATCTCTGAAGACTCCTGATTGTGTTGTTTTCATTTGAGTATGTAGCGTTTATACCTGCAGGTGGTAGGTTAAGTAGTAAGAGTATTATTGATGACGACAGTGATGATGATGATGACGATGGTTTTGTATGATAATGGTGATTTTAGGATGTTTTTGATGCTGATTAGAGCTCTCAAGAACAGCGGTCGATGTTGTGCTTTGCCTGTCAGCTCCTGTGTGTCTGATCGGACTTAAAGCTGTTTGTCTGATCTTACTGACGTTGTTTTCTCTTTTCTAGATCCTTACTTGTGATGCACTTACTCTCTGTAAATGTACGTCGCTTTGGATAGAAGCGTCTGCTAGTTGAATTGTAGATGTTGCACCGTATGTAATAATGTGTAACAGATTAGCGTCCTAAAGAGAACTTAAAGAAAATGAAACGTAGGTCATTAAAACAATTGTCAACACATTAGAGAGTCAGTAGATATAAAGAGCGAGAGAAGTGACGACATATTGGCGGATATTAAACAGGGTAGATCTGTGTCACTTGATTCAGAAATGTATTTCAGTGATATATATATCTGTATATATTCTCTCCAGGCGGTGTGTGAGGAACTCCGTGGACTTGCTCCAGCAGCTGGTCTGCACCATGACGGAGTGGTGTTTGGCTCTGATGACTTCTGTGCCAGCATAGGTAGCTACTACGACTTCTATTAAACTTTCTCAACATTGAGTTTGCTTCAGTAGTGTTATCCTTCCTTCCTCTGCCAACATCGAGTCATGTTGCATAGTAACAGCTTTTAAAAATAGTGATACTGCATGTCCACACAGGTATTCAAACATACCTGATTAATGTATTGCAGGGGGAAATGTTTTCAAATCAAGTTCTTCTTTTATTGTGCTTATGTTTTATTGAAAGGGAGATGGTTTTTTGGATGAGTGTGTTTTCAGTCAAAGCTCAAATATAATATACAGAAGGAGATAGAAATGAGTTTCATCTCACAAGTGTATTATTTTCAAATCAATTCCTCAGATGGACAGGAAGTTTGCTGATAAAGGCAGAAATATTCGAGTGATTTGAAAATAATACTAGACTTTACTCCACAGTAAAGTTTAACTCTCCATCAACGGAGAATAAAATAAATTGTAATATTTCTCACCAGTGTTATTTCCTGATTGTGACACTAATTCATCTTTTTTTATCACCTGTGCACCTCTTACTCCAAGCGTTCTCACTCCTTATCTGTTTTATGACTTACATGATATGTATGACCCCCTTTCTTTTTTGTCTCCCAGGTGCCACACGAACCAAAGATGCCAGGGAGCTCCTTTATGCGAGGCAGAAGGTGGTGGTGACCACCAAAGCGTTTGGTCTGCAGGCCATCGACCTGGTCTACATCGACTACAAAGACCTGGAGGGGCTGAGGCGACAGGCCAGAGAGGGAGCCCTCATGGGATTCACAGGTACACTTCCTGCTGGGGTCTCTAATCTGCCCCTGTCCTCTTAAATAAGGTCACTTGAAGTCCACAAATGAACATCTCTGTGCACCACAGATACCTCACAGTTTTTAAACTCTATATCATTTACTTCTCTAAACCTCACATGAACAGATTAACCTCTTTTTTTTTTTTTACATGCAATCATTCACTCTGTCTCATTGTTTTCATGTCTTCCAAGTGACAAAGAGGTTGGTTCTTAATGTAGTTTAAAGACATTAAAAGGATGCAGAATATCGCCTAGCTTGTGTGACATTCATGTCATTTAACTCTTCTTTATAACAATGGTTCTAACTTAAAATGAGCGTTGTGTCTCTGCTCCAGAAACTGGCCGCTTGTCTTTTTTTTTTTTTGTACCGACTGACACCAAAACTAGGACTTTTTCTCTTCTTCCTTCTGGTGTGCCCATGATGAAGGGTTTTGTGTCCATGTGCTCACCTGCAAGTGTGATTAAATTTAACAGAGAGTGGTAGCCTGTGCTTTAACAGCGCACTGTGTGTGTCTGTAGCCAGGCAACGCTCTCAGAATTTGTGTGTGAGTGTGTCTGTGCCCTGCAGACTGCATGTAACCACAGAAGGCAGGGCAGCCTTTTTTCTTTTTCTTTTTTCAGATTCATTCATTATTCCTTCGCTGCAGCAGATATTATTTGCTCTGGTATTTTCATCCCTTGAAGGCCGATCATTTTCAAAATCTGTCATGTAGTATTCACCCCTGTTATCTGAGGATCCCCCCCCCAACAATAAAATGTTTTGTTTACTCAAAGTAATAATTGTCTTCCTTAGGCTTTGAGATACCGAGTAGAATTAGTCAGCTTTCACGCTACAAATAAATTGTTGGAAAAAAAAGCTTTTCTTTCAATTGCATTCAACAACTTCATGAATCCCTCTAAGAGCAATGTGTGTGGAGCAAGCTTGTCCATGACGCAAAGAACAGACAGCACATAATTACACATAAGAGGAAGAAATACAATGGTAAATAAATGCTGATTTCTTTTTTTTTGGCACTGAAAAGTAGAAAACGCCTGAGCACACTCTCCACGTTGCACTCTCCTCGACACACGCTTCCTGCACTTCACATCGTCAAATCATCTTCTAGCAGCGCTCCTTGCTGCCTCATACGGCAACTTATTTTCCAGGTGACCTCATTTGCCACCTCTATTCTCTGGGGCTGCAGGTTCATGTGAGCAGTATGTGTACCTGTGTGTGTCTGTATCAGAATTATTCAGCAATTGCAATGTGCTTTTTTAAAAATATTTTGCACCGACAAATTCTAGTTTAGCATTTTTACTTTTGAATATTTGCACACTGCAATAAGGGCGCGTTATGTTAAGCCCTAGTGCTTCTCAAATGTGTTCATTAAATTAAGAAAATACATTTTTGGGGGGGGGGAATTGAAAAGAACAACTCTGTGTTTTGTTCGTCTGAGGTGAGAGGTGTAAAAGCAAATGAACAGAAGCAGCTGCTTGATGGAATAAATGGTTTTGATTTGATATGGAACAGAACCAGTCAAAAGCACTGGATTAGTGGCTTACAAGCCGTGGGCACTCTGTATAATCTTAGTTAGTAGCTATTACTGGCCCGAGTGTGCTTAAGCAATAATGCGGTGCAGCCAAAAGCCTCTACCTGTGCAGTAATTGACCTTGGCAGTGCCTAAGCCGCAACCAGCACCCATTAGCACAGAACACACCGGTCAAACACAAACACCCGGTGCTTCTTAATGCTAAACAAGTCAGTGTGAAGACAGAATGCAGGGATCAAATCTCTTCATTTTCTGATCTTTTTTTAACTTTACAAGCACCTTGTTTTATGTGCTGTAAACTACGTGTTGCTGCTGAGACTCAGTGATCCGTCTGAAACATGATCGCCTCCCAGAAATATAGAAACGGTTCCACAAAAATTCTCTGCTTTCAGGGTCCACATTTCACTTCCATCCCCGGGACCCTGCCCATCATTCGCCTGAGAGCACTTTGCTAAATAGCAATCCTCCAATGAGACGCCAGCACCACATGGCAGAGCGGGATTGGCTGGAGGGCATGAATGATGCAGTTTTAGGGTAACCAATGGGTTGTAACTGAGGGCACCTGAGTTACCCTGTCTGTCTCTGCGCGCTGTCATTCTGCTGTCGTCCTACACACACACACACACACACACACACACACACACACACACACGCACGCACATATGACAACCATACACAGGACGAGACACACTATCTTTTAGCCTGCAGTTTTCAGTGTGGAAACATGCTGCTCCGTCTTCAGACCAGGAGCAAAACAGGTGGCAGAAGAGGGAATGCATTCTCTTGTTGTCTCACTTCTCAAATACAAACACACACAAATACATACACACTAGTCATGATCAACTAGATAATCGTGATTAATTAAGACCTGAAATAAATGCATTCATTTTTCTAATGGCGTGCTATTTTGTCCCGTCAGGGGCACCGTGGATAAGCCTGCGGAGTGTCTCCCTGTAGTCACAGTGATGGAAAAGAACGACACTGCTGCGTCTTTGAATGTCTCATTTCACATTTTATGACAGAAACGTAACCTTCGATCTACCAGAAGGACCTTACTTAATTTCAAAAGCAAGTAAGTCAAGTTAAGTCAACATACAATTTCAAAATAAAAGCCTAATACTTTTATTTTTAAATGCGAAATAATGGAATTTCAAATGTAGGTTTAAAAGTCTGATTAATCGTAAATAACTTACTGAAATTTAAGGATTAATCGCCATTAAAAAAATGTAATTGTCTGACAGCCCTGATAGAAACATTCAAAAAACACACACACATTGAGTTTTGTACTTCAAACAGATTCATGGTATGAGCAAAGGAAAAGTAGGAGCACTAAAAATGCACTTGTTTTTTTGCCGAATAGGAGGTTCACAGATATATAAAAGTACACAAACACATTCATACACACATCTCTCCAGTGTGGCCCTGGGCAGTCCTCAGGCTCCAAGAGAAGAACTCCACCTCTATATTCAAACACACACACACAAGCATTGATGCATTTGCAGGGACGTTTTAATATAACATAATAAAACATGCTTGCTTGTATGATTCTCATGTAAAATTATGATTATATATTAATAGATTGACAGAAGGTGAATCATAAAATGTGTAGATTCATAATTTGGCAAATCTTCAAGCAAGAACATCAAACATTTTGCTGGTTCCAGCTTCCTAAATGCAGCAGTGTGTCACTCTTTGCCCTCCTGTTCATGAGAAAACATTAAGGTTCCAAATAGTTGTTTAAAAAAAACGTGTCAATTTAAGACTTTGCTTTGGGCCTCTGAGAAATAGTGATAAAGATTTGTCACAAGTGTGCGAAATGTATCGTCAGGACAGTTAATCGTCAGGTTAATATTCTCTGTAAGAACTGGTTTGTCGTAGCCCTAATAATGAGTTTCTGTTAAATGAACTATATTGTCTCATTGTCCCAGCCTCCATGTACAGTACAGCGTGTTGATTGTGTAACTGCAGTGTGTGTTTCTCTGAGGTTAACTGGGGTGAGCGGAGCTGGATGAAGGGAGAGGGGTTCTCTCCTCCCCCTCTCCTCTCCTCTACTGTCCTCCTTTCCTCTACCCTACTCCCCTAATTTTTTTTTTTTTTTCCTCCCCTGCTCGTGCTGCCCGCCCCGCTCGGCCACCTTGAAGGATTTGTTGTCGGCGACACAGCTAAGCCCCAAAGTGTCGAGTTCCTGCTGCCTGCAGCTGAGTCGTGGATCTCAGCAGACGTTTCATAACCTTAACTTATCGCTACAAGTTTGATCTGCAAATGTACACGGGATTATGTCTGCGGCGTTAGCCCACATTTTACAGAGAGGGAGTGGGATTCAAGAGGGGTGGGTGAATGGGTGGATGGGAGAGGACTGTGTCAGACGAGCTTTAACTACATGTTAAGCTCGTGTTTGAGTCGGATGTTGTGATTTGACCGCTGACAATGAACATTTACTGAGACTGTGCAAAGATATCAAATGTATGAAGGGGTAAACAGCGATTCCTTCATAGCTGCTGCTGCCTTATTGAAGGATTGTTGATGTTCAAATCCATGAAAAAAGTGGAATATTTTTTTTTTAAATAGTTTGAAATACTGTCCTTGTTTTCTTAAGTGTATAGCTTGACTGTGTGTGTTTCCTGAAGTCCTACTAAGCGTTCAGCTTAGTTTCTTTTTGTCATCAATACTGACCTACAGGCAGATTAAAGACACTTTAGTCTTTTCTGATTCACAGCATCTTCTGCTCATTTCCTCCAACTCATAACATATGAACATAAACACATTATATTTCCTTTCCTCCTCTCTGTCCGATGTTATTCCTCTCACATGGTAACAGTTCAAGTTGTCACTCTGTTCTGGAAAACTGTTGGTTTAACAGTTGTTGTTAGAAATAATGGAAGAATTAAAAACTGGAAGAGAAACTTGGATGGTGTTGGTATAATCGAGGCAGGTAATTGGCACAAACTCTGTTATTGAAAGCTCTGTGCCAACAAGCAAAAACATTTTTTTTTAAACTCAAGTAGCTCTTGTATTTAATTTTCATTTGGAGCCAAAGCCTACCTGCTGTTATCATTAGCATATCTCACTTTTTCTTCCTTTCTCTCTTTCTCTTGTGTGTGTGTGTGTTTGTGTGTGTAGGTAAGCAGGTGATCCACCCAGGGCAGATCCAGGCTGTGCAGGAGGAGTTCTCCCGAGTCCTGAGAGGGTCGAGTGGGCCAAAGAGCTCATTGCAGCTTTTGACCAGCACCAAAAGGAGGGAAAGGTAACATCAGCATCCTGTGCTCAAATTTAAACCACCATCATTTACAAGGTTAAAAAAAAAAAAAAATCTATTACTCTCTCTGTGATTTCAATTTCATCTCTCATGGCCCCCTCACTGAGACAATTTGGGAATTTAGTCAGAAATAAAGTACTGAAAAGTAGTTTCTGCAAAATATGAATGCTTTATTAGACGCACTGTCTATTATTAATATTGTTTTTATTATTATGCAAATGCAAAGACAAAACAAAAAAAAGAAGCACTAACCATCTTATCTTGCTTATCATATGTGTCAGCATTTTTTTTTTTTCTGGAGATTTCCAGTTTTCTCAATCAAACTTATTCCACATAAATCACTGTAATCCTAAAACTGAAAATAAATAGTTTTAATTGGATTGAATTTAAGATAAACTAGGAGATTTTCTTCAACTTCCTCAAACTGATGTCTCCAGCATGACACCATATCTGTGAGTGTGTGCTGCGATGGGCAGGAGTCGTCCTCCGCCCTGAGACTGGATCCCTTTGTGTACCCTCTGACACACCTCTGTGCTTCTAGAGAATACATACTGTACGACCCCTGGTGTAGGAAGGGGGCAGGAAAGGGGGGGGGGGGTTGGGCCAATTAAGTGTACAATATTATTGTTCCTAATTTAGTGCATGGTTGGATCCTGTGTGTTGAGCTCGGTGGGCTATCTGCTGAGGTAATACACAATCTGCCCACACCTCTCTCACTGCCAGGGCCGCTCCTGCTAAGCATCGCCCGAGGGATTCATATCCTACCCATCCCTCTGCTGCGCTGTGTGTGTGTGTGTGTGAGTGTGTGTGAGTGTGTGTGTGTGTGTGTGTGTGTGTGTGTGTGTGTGTGTGTGTGTGTGTGTGTGTGTGTGTGTGTGTGTGAGTGTGTGAGAGTGTGAGAGTGTGTGAGTGAGTGTAGGTTTGAAAAGCAAGCAGGGTCAGTCCTTTTGTCTTTCAACACGACAGGTGCTTGGTTTTTATAATTCCTAAGCTATTGGCTGCATTTTCCAGATTTTAGTTTTTTTTTACTTCTAATCTAATACCAAAAGATTCATAATTCCCAAATGCTCTAAACTTACATTTTCTTTTGCATCGTCCTCTTTTCTTTACTAAATGGTTTTGTCTATAATGCTAAAGTTTTTAGATTAAAATTGTTAATGCTTCATCCACACACAAAGAAAATGGGATTCATGATTGCTCTCCTGCAGTGGATCGTTCTGCAGTAACAACAATGACCTACTACCTAAGATCATTCAAAGTGTTTTGTTCTGTGTAGATCCGGTCTAACATTCCTCTTCCTCTGTCCGTAAAAACCTTTTCAGGGAGCGTTCACCTTCCGTGGCAGCATGATCGACATGCCCTCTGTGAAGCAGGCACAGAACATCCTCTCGCTCGCCGTCGCCGTGCCAGAGAAACGACACGACCGATAAGCAGAAACACGAGGAACCACACGACGCGACCCTGACAGGAGAGGTCGATGGACACTGGGATTGCCGCAGGTTTCATGAACAAAAAAAAAGAGCACTTTTTAAGGCTTTGAAACTCACTCTGGTGAAGTTTGGGGTTATGTTTTTTTTTTTAAGAACTGTTGAAATGCTTGTATTTAATTCATGTGATTGTCGGGACATTTCCAGAGGGGATGATTATGTTAAAATATACCTTCAGATGTTTTCAACTCTGTGAAAACTGCCCGTAGCGAGCATGGAGCAGCAGAAATCTGTGTCTTGAAGTGTGTGTCGAGGATTATTTCCCCCGTGCGGGCCACTTTCTTGGCACACTCTGAAGTGTGTGTGCGCCGTCCTGTCACTCTTCAGTGTGTGTCCCAGGTCATGATGAATGCTCTTCCATCTCCACGGTCCAGGCAGCTGGGCGAAAAGGGTAAACAAACACAACAAGCCACTGTTGTTGGAGCTATTCATTAGGCCCCAGTCCTCCAGTCAGGCCTCAGCAACCCCCCCCCCTTCCCCCACCTCTCCCCTACCCAGGCCCTGACTCTCAGACATCAAAGTCCCACTCACTGGAAGAAAAAAAAAAAAACCTGATGGAAGTGCATAAACTCACTATTTAGCTTTTTTTTTTGTGTGCGTCTGTCTCCTTAGCAAAGACATGCAGCTCGCTCTGTGGCAGCTGCAGGCCTGTGGTCTTGATGGAGAAGGCGTGCAGTGTCAGACACACCATGACCTGCACGAAAAATAAACACTGTATACATGCACACGCTGCGGCACTGTTCCACAACTGATCTCTCATTTAGCACCAACTTCCACTGAAATAACCAGCTACAGCGTCTGGGATGACATTCACCTGTGTGTTTGTGTTTTAATAAAGGAACATTTAAATTGATTTCCTGACATCAACAAGAAGCAACTACTGGCAGAACTGCAAGAAATATTAACGATTTTTTTGTACTTGTAAATGTAAATTACAAAAAAAAAAAGTTATGGGGACACGGACACACTTTGCAAAATAAATCAAAAAGAAATTTGAAACGGGAGAAAACACAGACATGACGACACAAAACCGTATTTGAACAAAGTAGACAACAATTGAAATGCCATCTTGATGGATTATCCGCCACATAAACAAAAAGTCTGAAAGGGTTTTACTTCTTGAATGCCCCCCCCCATCCCTACACTTCAGTTTGTATCTGCAGTCCTGGAAACATGAACCTTTCTTTTTTAAGTCCATTTAAAAGGCAATCGACCTGTCTGTTTGCTTTTCTTATAAACCTTTAAATGATGTCTTACAAGAAGAAGCAGATAAAAGCCAATCTGCAAAAAATATAAAGTATTTCAGTGCATGGGTATTCCAAAAAAAAAAAAGACAACAGCAACACACTTACACACATTTTAATGGACACACACAGATAAATCCAACAGCCTAAAAACAAACTATGCAATGCAGCGTAGGGGAATCCTCCACCACACAAACAAAAAAGTCTGAAAGAGCTCCAGAAATGTACACAGAACGTGACTCCTTGAACGCCTCCCTTTCCTAAACCTCAGTCTACACCTCTAATGTTGACATTTAAACGTTACACTCTGCTTATGAGTCTACAACAAAGATCCTTCACCTTCTGTTCTTTGCATTACCAAAATGTAGTCGCTCTCTTTTTCTTTTTTTTTCACCTAGCTTTACATGGTAACTTTTCCAAATGAAACAAAAGAATGAACTCCCTGAAAAGTTCTGTGAAGTCAAATATATTCAAATTCAAACTACTTAATTAATCCCACTAGAGGCAATTGGTTTAGAGCAGCTTTAACATAAAAAAAACAAAAGCCACATACATACAACACTAAAGTAGTACAAGGTGAGTACAATGAAGGCTCTGTGCAGTGTTTGTACACGTCTGACTTCCATAGACAGTGAAGTGGGTGTGATGTTGGAGTGAGACAGATTAGTGGCCATGTTGCTCCAGCAGACCAGGACCGAGGCTTTGTCTCTCTGACTGCGGATGGGAGGATAATTGGGGGGGTGTTGAATGGTTAATAGTGCCATTGGTGACCATGGTAATGAAAGGCACCACACCTCCCCTACCCCACCTCGTCCACTCATCTCTCTCTCTCTCTCTCTCTCTCTCTCTCTCTCTCTCATACTGTATGAGCTATTGTGTCTGGGGCAGGACGCCGGTCTGTGCCAGGCCAGGCCAGACAAAAAAAAAAAAAAAGATCGAAACCCACTCCTGCGCCCAGCCAAAGACCCCAACAGTAAGCCGTCTCGTTGGCATCGGGCCACATACATTCTCTCACCCCTGGCTCACTTCTTTGCTGTCGGGAATTCACATTCGGCTTGTTTGTTTGTTTTTCGCCAAATCTACCATTACACACCCCGAGGTTGCTGTTGTGTTTGACTTTCATGAAATAAATCCACAAGCACTGTTCGGGCGAGGCCATTTTTTTGGTCTGATCTTTAAAATCAATGTGTGTGTGTGTGTGTGTGTGTGTGTGTGTGTGTGTGTGACTAGAGATGTTTTCCAGTTACAGATCTAGCAGATTGTCATGCGTCATGAACTGATTGCTTCAGTCTCAGAATGTGTCCTGATGTTGTGCTGTGTCATTAAAGCGGGAACGTCTGACTTTGTGACTTTTAAAACGTTCATTAAAGTATTTATTTTTACGTTGCAATCAAATCTAAAAACCACTGCATAGAGAGATGTGCGAGAAAAACTGACTTTGTTCCTTTCTTCGACAATTCACTTTTGAATCCTGTAAGTGTCCAATTGAATGCAGATGAAGCAAAACATGGCTGCCACTAATACACTCAAGATCATCTTCAAAACACTAAACTGCTTCAATCTCATCGGAGACGAGAGAACAAGGCTGCAATCAATTCTGTTCTTTGATTTCTAATATCAATGACACCTGATATCAGTGCTTTCATTTAAACATCTCTATTCTGCAGTTGTAGTTTTTTAGTGGTGTTGATTTGGAGTTCTTTATATTTAAAGGTTTTATTGATTCCACACATGAGGCGTTCAGAATAGAGATTAACCTTTCAAAATAAAGCACTCTGTTGTACACAAATCACCTATAGAGAATATTTACCTCTTAAGCACTGTCAACAAAAATCAAAAATATTATAGCTATATGAAAAAAAGATTTAATAGTATTGGATCACATGCCATCATTAAAGACCGACTGATGAAGAGGACAGTGACTAGTGAATATGAGTTTTCTAAAGATGTTTAAATCTGAACATTTATGCTTTAACATCATCAGTTTTATTCATCCCCCCCCCCCCTCGTTTTTTAAAAACACCTGGACTGCCCCTATTTAGTCAGACTAGAGTAAAAGTGTGTAATGAGCGACAGAAAGCCTCTGTTTGACACAATCGTCCAGCACTCAGAGTAGAACAGAGGCTCCCCAGGTGACTTTAGTGCTGAAGGAGGCCTTTCTGAAGGGACAACTCAGCTTCTCCTGGCTGCTCTGCACCAACAGGTGTCCTGCAGGCTGACAGGGGGAGGAAGGAAGGGAGGAAGGAAGCAGGGAGGGAGGAAACATCTCTTAGCAGAGGAAGCAGCAGAGCATCATGCAGGGATGAAGCAAAAACAAGGGGCAACTCTTCAGAGGAGGATCCGGAAATAATATGGCAAGTTTAGCCAAACATAAAGCCCTCTTGGTGTTCGTTTACCCCAAATATTACCCCCCCCCCCCCCCACCCCCCTCCTTCCCTTTTTTATAATCCTCTTCTCATGTCATTCTTTGCACCAACATCTCTTCTCATTTCAGTTCAGAGGTGAAACAAACTTTTGTGCTTTGATGCTCATGGAGCTCGTTTGGCATTGCACCTTGACGACCTTGCAGTTCAGCAACGTGGAGAAGAAGCGACGGATACGAGCTGCAGCTCTGTCGATTAGAGGAATGCATCCCTGTCTTTCTCCGCTGTGTAATTCTACATGACGTTTCTATTATGCGTGCAGCTGATATAATCTCCTCAGTCCGCGCGGCCGCCTTTATTTAAACACATCTCTCCTTCTATTCCCTGAGAGAGTAAATTACAATTAACACGATTATAACCTCACAAAACTAGTGACGGGAATCAATTAGGCTGCGAGCAGTATTTCACAGGCCGTTAATGTGCTGCTGGAGATTGCTTTCATAAATGATGAGGGGGACAGCGCAGGCGGAGGAAAATGCATGTATGCAAAACACTGTCAGAGGAAAATTAAAACGAAATGTTTTACATATTTTTCCATTAATCTAAATGGGACCCGTGTGGCAAAGATGGTTTTATTCTAATTCCCTCCTCCCGGGGATGCCCAAATAATGACTTGATGTTTTAATAGACTTCTAATGACAATATATGGCCAAGTAATTGCAGCAAAAAAAAAAAAAAGATGATGATTCTAAAGCAATAAAATGCCTCGTTATTCTAGCTGCAGCACAGTTTGAGGAGAGTAATCCTATTAGCTCAAATGGTTTAAAATAGAACGTGTGCAGAGATGATCAACACGAGACGTTTAGCTTACACTCATTAGCTTTGTTTCAATATTTAGAAATCTTTTTTTTTTTTTTTTTTATGAATTAAGACAATTTTATGGAGGAGAATTTCCTGAAAGTCTTTTTTTCCTGAATTGGGTCTTAATGTTAAAGGATTAATGATTACAAAATGTGTGTGTGTGTGTGTGTGTCCCTTTTTTTATAAACCACTCCATTTGAAAAGTATCATAAAAAGGCTTTATGTCAATAAATATTCGGTTATTTGAAAATATTGTAATACAAAAAAGCATTTTTTGAAATAAAATGTCAGAATAAAAGTACGATATATTTATTTAAACGAAATTGGTGGATTTATCTGAAATCTCGATTTTTTTTCATGTTTATCTACTTTCTTTTATTTCTCTTGATTTGGTTATTTTCTAGAACAAACAGCAACGACACAAATATTCACTCTGCCGTATTTTGAGAGACTATTTGTTTGTTTTCCCTCTTAAACTCCCTGAATCAGTCATTTCGTTTTTTTCCTTTTATTCCGTTCTGCTGACAGGCGCATGTGCTGCCCCCTCTTCTTCCTCATCATCCTCTTCTTCTTCCTCTGTGTTTTTTTTTTTTTCTTTCTTTTTTTTGCATGATCTGAAATTGAGCTCGGCGGCCTGTCTGTGCTGCCTGACTGATCTGGCACATGTGGACCATCACTAACTTCATTTAAGACCAGACCTTTTGTCTGAGTGTCTCCGTCAGAGCGGCGAGGCATGCAGAGCAGAGATGTTCAATCCCAAATTTAGATTTTTTTTTTTTTGATCCACACAGACATTAGCCATGTTGCCCTCTTGGCCTGTAACACCAAATAAATCAAAATATGATTTTCTAGGCAAATACAAATTTTTGCATTGATTTAGTTTTTGCCATTTTGCCATTTCTGTCCTCCTCTCTATAAAAATGTGTTTTTTTTTGTCTGCAGCACATCTATTAAATATGTCTAGATTAAGATTTGATGTGCATTTCTATTAAATGTAACCCATCAAACCTGCAGGCCTCTGTGTATCTGAAGGCCCCTTCATGCATCTTGCAGATTTAATCTCTTGGAGGTCCCTTCCTCTTTGGGTCCAGGCTGCCCCGGGGCCTGTTTACCTGATCTGCAGAAACAAACAGCACATTCAGAGAAATGAAACACACTTCGGGCTGCAACATCTTCCCCCTCTTTCAGAGGTATTGGACACGCAAATAAGGAAGTATGTTGTCCAATGTGAAGGGTAATACAATTGTTTGTCAGGTTATTAAAGAAAATATAGCTAAACCAAAATTAAGGTGACTTTACCTCCTCCTCTGGGTCTGACTCCCCCTCAGACTCCTTCTCCTTAACGGGCTCAGATCAAAGGCTGGTCGGCCCCGGCGGAGACCACTAAAACCCGCCCGCTTTGTCTGCTGTTGCCAGGAGTGAGGAAGGGTGTCGAGGAGGAGGAGGAGGAGGAGGATGAGGGGGGGATAGAGGAGTGACATGGTAATGAGACTCGTTACTGAGCGGCAGAAAGTCTCTGCAACTTTGTCGTTGTTGTTTTGTTTTGTTTATTAAGTCGAGTGTTCATCTGTTGTCAGATGTGGATCTTTGGAGTTCATCTGCTTGCTTTAATACCAGGCTACTCTACTGAGAGCTTCATTTCCTGGAGGCGCACAGCAGCAGATTTGGAGGTTTAAAATACAAACAAAATAATGTCAAGTTTGCCAGAATGTATTTCTATGTTATTCACACCTGAAGTAGGATGCATGTTAAACATCTGAAAGCAACATTCACGCCACATTGTCGACCTCTTTAATCAATTAAGGAAACGCAGCTTCTTTTAGTGTCATGTTTATTTGTTTGTTTGCCTCTCTGTTGTCCCTGAACGCAGCAGACAAGACAGGCCAATAGAAAGTTTACGCGACCGACACAGACAGCTTCAAGGAGAGAAAAAAAGAGACAGCAGATCATAAATGGAGCAGGTCTGCAGCCACACAGACAGAAACTCAGATCAGATCTCACACCTGCCTCTCAAAGATCACTTCAGTGTGGTACATGTTACATCAAATGTATCCAGATTCATCACTCGTCAAAATGTCATTAAAACATTAAAAACAGAGTAGTTAAGGCTTTAAGAAGAAATCTTCCAATGGGAAACTTTTCGTTGAAATGTCCTGCTGTATTTTGTTCTGCAATTTACACCTAGGCAATATCATTTTGTTGGGATTTTCGATAAATGCTCCTCCATCGAATCTCGCTTTTATCCTTCGTTTTGTTTTCGAGCAAATTGCGAACACAGGATTATTATTTTTTTGGGGGGGGGGCATTAGAACTTCGGACGTGCAACCTTAAGGGTGTGTCTACATCATGCTCCAAAATGTAAAACTAAATATTAACTTTGTTTCTCTTAAATTTTTGACCTCCTTTAAAAAAAAAATGCTCCAAACTCTCATTTTGCGCATTAAAACCCCTACATATAAACTCGGTGATAATTTCCCCACTTTTCTCTGCACAATCGAATACCAAGCTGTTAATCTGCCTCCGCCTCCCTCTTTCTCTTTCTCTTTCTTTCCCTCCCTTTCTCACTCCCTCTCCGTGCAGCTGAGCAGGTGGAGGCCGCGCACCTGCACGCACAGCTGCGCGCACCTTGTTATTGCTGCCGCTGCTTGACGCACAGATGAGCGCAGCCCCACAGCCAACAACAACACAATCCCGACAATATAAACCACCTCTCCTGCGCCGCAGCGTGATTCACTTCTTTTTTTTTTGTGGAGGCACATCAAGACGCGCACTATTTCTTTTTTATGAATGAATTGGGAGGTTTGGAACTAATTTTCTCTATAGATGAAATAGACAAAAAAAAAAATCTCTTTATAATTACGCTTGTTTAATTAAATATTTCCCAAACAGGACACTGATTTCTATTTATTTCCCAGCCGTCTTTCTGTCTGTTTGTCATGCTCCAGACTTCAACATGAGACCACCTAATCCAATTAAACACGATAACCCTGGACTCACGTATTATTCTCTTCCTTTTCTGCCTCGAGTTGCTGACAAGTACTCTTGGTTTTGTGTGAAAGAGAGAGTCAAGAGCCCTCTCTTAATCCCGGGCACGACTAGCAGTGATTGAAAAGTGAAAGAAACCCCTCATTGGTCCTCGAGCTTGATGGTGTTTTCTTTGTGCGGGACTCTGGCTTCTTGTTAGAGGGAAATCCCGTCTGGCTGGTGATAGTTATTAGTCTGTATCAGGCAAGAATCTGCACTATTAAAACTTAATAAATAACCACGACTAGTCTGTATTTATTATCCTGTTAAAGAGTTTAAACTTGGTGTAATCCAAAGAAGCTACTAATTAGGATTAAGGGAACAATTTTAGGTTTAAAGTGTAATTGTTAATTAGTGTTTGTTCAAGTGCTTTAAGCAGATTAGACTTTTTACAGGAAAATAAAAACAACATTCAGTCATCAGCTTTAATCACCCCCTCTTAAACACGAGCACTTTTCAGAGCAAGTTCTGGAATAAATAACCTTTTTTGAATTAATCTTTCCACTTCCACTCAAAACCCCTAACCCTAAACCCAAAGCAAAATGTTCTTATTCCTGAATTATCAGAAAATAAAATTAAGATTTGGCGAGTAATTTAATAAGAAAAGAAAATGTGTCACACCAGCTGTATTTTTTTTTTTTTTAATAAATTCTTTCTGAGCAGAAAGGCGACATTAATTCCGTTCAGCTCGAGCCGCCATAACATATTGAAGGTGTTGCAAAATGACAGGTAATTGACATTAATCCGCTCGCTCTGAGACTCAGGGGGGGATCTAAAGTAAACGGGGATACGGTTAATGAAGCACCACTTGCCCTTTGAATCTCGGTCACAGTGTGCAGCGGGGAAGTTTGGAGAAACTTCATACTTCCAGTGCGTGCGTCATGAAATATGGAGAGGAGGATCTGACGCCGTGATTGCGCCATATGTGATTTTTACATTCTGTTTTAAAAGCTGGAGTAATTATAGAGAGGGCTTAGAGATAGATTAGCACGTGGATGTGTAACTTTTTAAAGTGATGACTCAGTCTTTGTGACATCTCAGACTTGTTGTGGGGATGGTGCCTGCCTAATTTTTGCATGACAATACCTTTCCAGTTCTCCTGCATCCACGGGGTTGTTATTATTATGCTTATTATAATTCATATGAGGAGTTCTCCCTATAGGAGCTGTGACAGACAGACAGAGGCCAGGTGGGAGAGGCACACTCCGAGCGTAAGATGCACACCTTTCCTCTCCATGCGCACGCCGCTCGGTGCTACGGGATCCTGCGTAATGAGGGCACCTATGGGGGCCCTCCTGGATGGAGAGGTGTCCTAACCTCGCCACGGCCGGTCAGGAATTGAAGCAGCCGACACCTGCGCGTCACCCCTCCCTCCTACTCCTCCTCCTTCTTGCTCCCCCCCCCTCACGGCCGCCCCCCGTCACCGAGAGTTCATACTCCGCGCGTAACTTTTGACAACGATAATGATGTGCATGGTGATGCTGAAAATCTAAGGAGGGGCTGAAGTAGGGAAATAAGGACTCTCGGTGTCCGTGCCAGGGGAGGGGCACTTACATTTCTCCTCAGGACCATTTCACTTGTGATGGAAAAGCACCACTCTGCAGCCTCCCACTGGACTGATGAATGCATAATCTGGCTGCCTGGTCTTCTCACAGTCCACAGGGAACAGTTTCTATTCAGACATGTGCTTTAAAACGTCAAAATAGACTCAAACAAAATGTTATAAACTACTCAAAAAAAAAACTCGTGGGCAGCATTTTAATCCAAGATAAGTTTCCCCCAAGCCTTGATAAAATATGTTCTTATTCGTAAGGCATCAAATATTGACGCTTCTTCTACGTCTTCATGAGACG